AATATGCCTTTTATTAGGGCATATTACTATAAGAAATTGACTTATAATTTTGATATTCGCGTCAATGTCAGTATTGTAGTTATTACAGGGTGTTTTCTTCGCTGATTTTAAGTCATATCAGTGTCATGCAGAACTTATGGGAACTTTTAGTGCATTAGGATTTAAATATTTTCTCAACTACTTTTGAGATCTCTGTGCTTTTGTCAGCTTTGTGCATTCACAAGAGTTTATTTTTAAATTTTTTTACTACTAAATATACATGGCGTACAGACAGTCCTCCTGCTTTCAGTGACCTAGAAGACCATCTAAACAGGCCACGGTTCCGTGGTATTTGAGCTTCTACAGTGTATGGAATCAAAACTGCATCATTGAGCAGGTCCGAACAAAATTCTGTCCGGACACCTGCCGACATGCCATTATTCATAGACATATCTATACATCAAGGGAAATACGGATCTTATAGGTTTACTACTAGCGTGCTGCTAGTTTTCGGTACCGTCGTTAAGAAGAATAATACTTTTATTTTTGTTTATTTTCAGCATTGTGTGTCGATAGACCCACAGAAAGTTCGGTAACTGAGACAAGCGTCTTTTCATACGCGAGTAAACAGTTCTGTTCATAGATAATAAGAACCTTGTTGTTCAGCGTATCGTTTGATTTACCGGTCATTTAGGACGATGAATGAAGATGTGTCGGATTCAGAGGCGGACAGCGATGAAGAATGTTTATCTGAAGATGTCAGATGCTAAGTTTCTTTTGTTAAAACAAGATTATTTTAAACTTCGTAGTTCAGGTGATCCTCAGCGTGAGTGTCACAAATGGCAGAGTCGGTGCAGCTTATTATGATCGAAATTACATAACAGTTTTTATGCTGGAAGATATAGCCGAAAACACTACCGACTGTACGGCTTTGGAACACAGTAAAATCTGCTTGCTCTTGTTTTACACACTAGACTAGATTTATTTATAACTGTTGTGGACAGCTATCAATCAATCAGTCAGATTTATTAACATAGCGCGACAGATAATACGGCCGCACTTATCAGATGTGGGGCTAGGAAGGAGAGCGGAAAAGTAGAAAAGAAAATAAGTCAGCAGGAAAGTTCTTTCATAAATTGTGCACACAACTATCTACTTTTTAGCGGTTTTAGCACTTGGGAAAGATACAGTTGCACTACAGTTATAAATAAATGTAACCATTGCTATCCAGTTTTGTATACATGCCTCACAGGCCCATAGGCATTTCCACTGTCTTTTATTTTGGTTGGCAATCCCCTTCATATTTTATACATAACATTTTTATGCAGGCTATTTTTCATGATTCTTGAGCTATTACATTTCATACTTTAACCACGTGATTCGTTTAGTTATCGATCAAGTTAAGCCGACCACGGTGATTGCCAGTTTCAAGCAAGATGACCAAGTGTTGTATCACCTGAAGCGTCTCTGTAGATCAGTTACTGAAACAGGCCCAATTTTCACAAAAGCTATTTAGGCAGCATATCAGACATTCAAGACGAAGCGTTTACCTCACAAGCAACAACTGATGAGCGTTTTCATGGTCGCTCACTTTTCAAACCAGAACTGTATTTCTTACCTTCCAGCGAATTTGGTATTTTGATTTAATGTTTCCTTTCTATTTTTCCTCAATGCCATATTGCGTTTGACAGTGAAATATGTAGATTTTGTCAACTGTCAAAGCACTATCTGTACAGCTATAAAGGGAAGTTCAAAAATCGCTAACGCCGAACTGCAGGCGGTATTTGCTGTAAATTTTCAAGCCATCAACATGGTAGGAACCAGCATTTCGAGACCCGTCATAAGCATGTACTGATTGTTTTTGACCTTATGTTTCAGGTGAGGTCACTGGGGGCATTGATCAGGTACTGTAATTTGAAAACAATTCGATGTGCATCAGACGCAGCTGTAAGCGACTCTGACGCTTCTACGTTTACATTTTTGAAGACGTTTTCGCTGTAAGTCACGTTGTGCGACGACGGTGTCGATCGGGTTGTCATTGGCGATGGTTTGCTACTTTCAGCGAACATGTCCTGAAGATCGACGAAGTAACCTACCAGGCGTTGCAGATTTTCCAGCTTATGAACCACCCGTCCGTATACAAGGCCGGCTTGCAGGGTTTTAAAGAAGGATTCAGTTTATTCTGTAAGATCCAAATGTTAAAATGTCAGTTAAAATTCGCAGTGGTACTTACTACTTCAGTGGTATATAATCCAAATTCACGTGCTCTTAAACTTGCCATAAATGGACGATTCGACCCGAATCTCACATCATTAGGTGCTAATCTCTTGATAAAAGAATTCCATTTAAATTGCTTCAGTTCACGCAGCTAAGAACTGGAGTTTGCCTGGTGTGATAGATGTGGTCATACCACAACATGCGAGGCGTACGGCAATACTCTTTTAGGGCTGAAATTCCCATCGACCCACCTGATAGCAGAACAAAAATCAGCAAAGTGTATATCATAAATTTAACATTTTGCAGGTTACACAACATAGGTAAAAGCTGGTCAGGACATGACACCATTGAGACATTTAACGGTATCCAACATTGCGAAGATAGGGACGTTGTCTTGATATTTTCCAGGCCTTCGTCTCAAGCAGGTTCTTGGTTCTAATATTGAAATGATTCATAAAGCATCAGCGTTTGTTGCAGTACCCGGAAGAACCTTCACTCATGCTGTAGTTGGCGAGGCCACATTGAACGTAAGACAGAACGCGAAACTACATTTACATGATTATGAATCTCGGCTCGAATGGCCCAAATGATTTCCTTGTATGCCACACTATCTGAATCTTCTGTTTATGCCATTGTAGACGTTTTAACTATTCTGATGATTGGTAGCAACTTAAGAAAACGATCCGTTTCCTCAGATGTATATGCCAAGGATAGTTCAGATATGCGGTAACAGAGTCTAATTTGTGGCTGATGTCGGGATCGGTCAATCTTGACAAATTCACAGTAGAGGTGTGAAACTACTTCCTAAAAACCTGGATGTCTTGAAACAAACTGATCGCTCCAAAATTGTTCCATTTCACGATTTGGGAAAATGCGATAATGTATAATGCAATTGTCAGGAGTTTTCATCTGTTCAAAAAATTATAATGATTTCATTAGGATTTTCTAAGGATCCATGTTCGAATTTCAAGGAAATTCCCACTTTTTTGCCTGGATTTGTCTACTTCAGTTTCTTAGACATAATTACCTTTAAAAGCATGACGAACTCTGTCGACTCCGATTTCCATTGCCTAGTCAGCAGACCGTTTCAAGGTTTATCCTAGCGGCTTAATATTGTGCACTCCAACGTACTTTCCCGTTTTATATGAACTCGTACTTTTCTCCCTTTCTACACTCCTGTTGCGGAAGTACCATATCTTAATGTAAATTGTAATAATTACATTCTTGCTAATGACTGTCACAAGAATTATTGATATACAGGTCAAAGCTTTGATGTGCGTTGCCCTCTCTCTGCCCCTGTCCTTAAGATAAACTAGTAATTCATAAATTTTTGCATTCTGAGTTGTTTTCGTTCATATGATGCATAGTGTTTTTGTTGTAGCGCTTTTCAGTCGTTGTCGCAGCATTGTTGGAACGATGGAGCTGAGGTAAATTTGTACTTTTACTTTAATACGTTGTTGAATTGTCCCTTTATATGTTGCTGAATTTCTAAAAGATATTACAAAATTTTTCCTTAAGCTCAGCAGCTGAAATGTAGAGCAAAAAAGAATAAGTATGAAGAAGTGGAAGGGAAAAACGCACAAATTTAAATTTATTATTCACTGATTCATTGACTCATTCACTCATTCATTCAGTTTCAATTCCTGACCATCTGTTCAGGTAGAGGGGGCTTTTCCAGAGAACCCTATCCCCCTTCAGTCAGGTTAGTTTCATGGGTTGGAACGGCGAAACAGTTCCAGGTCATCTATCGAATTAATTATTTTTATTGTTCGTGGCGAAAATGACTAGTGTCCGATTCCTCGACAAGCAAGAGTCAAAACTCAATACAAACGTATGATAAGTTTGATACAGTTTGATAACAGCCCCTCGTTCAAGGACATATCCACCGTTATTAACAAACGTAGGAATGTAGTGCTTGTTTAACATCAGTCGAGCTAAATGAAGTACTAATTAAATTTTAGAAAAGCGAAGAAAATCTCCACTGGTTATTTGAGATCAGAGTAAACGTGGTCTGATACTCCAATTTTTAGTTTTGTCACTAATGTACACGTTAATTGGGCTACTCCTGTCTCTGCAGTTAGCATTTGAGACTAATCCGTCTTTTGCATTTTCTTGTCACATGCAGTCCAACAGCCCTGTTTAAACAGTGCCCCGTCCCGTTTGAAACTCCAATAGATTCTACCGTAATAATCTCGGTTTGTTTCTAAAGCCACTTTTCCTTTGCGGACGCGGAAGCAGCACCGTAGGACATAGTCTCCAATGTTCCTGATCTCTTTCTAGCTCCTGAGCTTCAGAAAAAAGATAACTCGAGTCTGGAGAAAGTTCGTTGATCCATTTTTCCAAGTCATTCTTGGCCCTTTCAGGGGTCTCTGACCGGTCAGTTGAGTAAGTAACAGCTGTTTCGCTTTTTTCCCCCAAAGCATTCGCACCTGTGACTTCTCAGTCTGAAAAAGCAGCATTCGTGCGTCAAGATCTTGTACTCCGGACCATGTCGAGACGCGTATAACTGGAGATTCGCCTCAGAAAGCGCATTTCAGCCGCTTTTAGCCGGGATCGAAGTACTTTCAGTCATGGTTCACGAATCATGACCATAGATCGGGGTAGCCGACAGTTTAACATCAGCATCTGTGAAGTTTTGAAATCCAAATTCTTAAAATTTAAGATATGCATCACTGAAATTTGCAGAGAATTTAAGAAGTTCTTCGCCTACATTTTAAACCCCAACATCTTTCAGCTCTGAAAGTTAACCGGCGTTTTTGACAGAGACTAATATCCTCTGAAATCCACTATAAACTATAATATGTATGCTAAGCATACTACTCTGATGGTGTATACATTCTTACTCATGTCTTCTTCATCTTCATCATCGTGAAATACTGCAATGGTCATTTAGGCGAGGAATAATGTTATCTAGGATGCAGCGAACGAGTAACCATACGTGTAAATTTTTCTTGCTAAACTGACATATTGCATCGTGCTTAAATTGTTTTAGAGCAACAATAAAACAAGCTTGGGAAAGTGTTATGTAGTTAGTTAGTTGAACACGTTGCCTCCAAAACCGCCTAACTTGTCTTCAAGTCTTTATTGATTTTACCAATTACCTTAGCTACCAAAAGATGAAAAAATACGAAAAAGGAAAACGAAATCTGATTGCTTCAATTCACCTCAATACGCATCATTGACCGAGGTTGTTGAGTCGTAGAGTGTTTAACTCAGAACCTGAGGTCACGGGATCGAACCCCTGTCAGGTGACTCACATTTCTTCCTTCTGAGGTTGATGAATGAGCGGCAATATGTAGGAAAGGAACATGATAATAGACATAGTGCTTGTCACAAAACTGTTGTCAGCTCTGCCTTTAAAATAAGGCACTCCTAGATAATAGCATAGAAATGGAGATCAGCGCTCCACGATTAATTCCATAAAACGAAGGGCAGCAGAAATTGTCTCATCATGAAAAGGTAAGGAGTACCGACATTACAGCGGGTACATACTTTACTATCCTTTCTTACATAGGCGAAACTGATGTACCATTTTTGAAATAAGAAGAGATGACACGAATAAATCTCACGTCAAATATTGCTTATTTCACAGAAAGTAGTTTAGATTTTAGGAAGTGGTCAAACGAAAGAAGCGAACTAAAAATGCCAAAGTTCTCAAGGCTGAATGAAAATAAAATTAAGCTACTCTGCTACTTGCAATTATCCAATAACTCTCCTTGTGGAAAAATGGATGACATTAACTTGTAAAAGGCAAAATTATTTTCTCTTAGATATCGAAGATATCGATTATTTTCTCTTAGATTCATAGCTTATTTATACGTTTGACGGGTTTGGCTATACAAACAGTAAACTTAGATTAGACATCGTCTACAAATGAACCGGAAACATCAAACGGTGTTTCAACACTAACAACGGACTATAAATTATTTCGGTTCATCTACATCGGCATGACATCCCACAGCGCTTATCTTATTGTTATCATGAAGAGAAATAAGAAAATATGACGAAAAATGTTGTTAATTGTTTTATTTATCATATTCACTGATAGTGTCGTATTTTCAATAAATGACTTACTGTACAGCAAATTAATTCCAGTCACTGTTAGTCTTCTCGCACTGGGCTTAGGAGTATCCAAAGTTTCTCACTACCAAGTATAGCTTCACTGTCTCACCCATAAAGTCAAGAGAGTTCCTACCAATATTGAACTTTTGTTCTTCGGCTACATAATCGCAAGATTATAATCTTTACATTAATTGTACTACGATGGTGTTATATAATGTTAATATTTACAAGTGGAAGCAAGCATTTCCACGGTAATGTTGTTTTAGGAGGTGGTTCCTAAGACCTCTCTACGAACGGTCGGTGCTTCAGGACCGTTTGGACGCCGTGAATTATTTTTTTAAGAGTGATAATGCTCAGTTGGCTCAAGCGATGAGGAAGCAGCTACAGCACGTAAAGCGTCTTACGGTAAATCTGAATCTTGTCTTCGAGCGTTGATCGACTTTGAATGTTACGTGTATTCCCTAACACTCTTTTTTGCCCAGAACGTGCTTACTCGAATGCAACTGTGCAAAGTGAAGCCAAACGATTGGGTCAGTTTGTACAGGGTAATACACTTTGCTTGATTTACTGTTTTCAACTAAACAGCAAACATATGTGCATGTTTCTGTTCAGACGGTATACAGCTGCATCTACCTGCAAGATCTGGTCCGCATTCGGGAGAACATTCCAAAATTTCTCACTGATGTAAGTGCCCATAACTTCTCTTT